TTTTTTCCCATCTGAGCACTTCCCAAGGCAGGAATTTGGGAGAATTCATGGATTTCTCCCATCAAATTCCCGAACTCACCTCGTTCTCCTCAGCGCTGCTTCCGGCTGCTCCAACCTTGGAATCTCCAGATCCATTCCCGCTTTTCTCGGGAGTTTTTCCTCCCTGGGCAGCCTCTCCCAGATTCCCAAATCCCACAGATTCTTCCCGATTTTCCTTCTCCTCTTCCTGATGCTCCGGAATCCTTCCCAAAGTCCCTTTTTCCTCCACGGTTTCACTTTTCCCCGCCGATCCCGATTTTTCCAGCTTTTCCGGAGCCGTTTCCTGCGTGGTTCTGCCGCCGCTTTTGGGATCTCCGGGGTTTTTTCGGGAATGGGATCTTTTCCCGCTGCTGAAGAAGGCGGATCCCAGMGGGAGCCTCAGCGCCGGCCTCACTCCCGTGCTCAGCACCCTCAGCGGCCATTCCACCTTTTTCCGCACCACGCAATTCCCGGAATTCCCATTTTCCTTCCCCTCRGGAATCGCTCCCTTCTCCTTCCCRCCTTTGGGAACGCTGTGRYGATCCYGYCTGGGCTTGGTTTTGCCCTTGGARCYGCGATTCYTGCTGGGATTCCTGCTGGAATTCCTAGAATTCCTGTTTTTTTCCAGGAGATTCCCAGCCCCGTTCCCGTCTCCCGATCCCTGCAGCTCCCGCAGCCGTTTCCTTTCCAGAGGATCTAGGTAGGTCCCGCCCTTCCCATAAAAAACCCCCACAGGAACGTGGGATTTTTGGGATTTCCCAGGAGATTCCCGTTTTCCAGCCGTGGGAACGAGGGAGATTTCCAATTTCCTGGAATGCGCTGCTTTCCCTGGAAAAGCCTTGTTTTCCTTGGTTTCCTCATCGGAGCTGGGAGACCATTGGATTTGGGAAGCGAAGAGTTTATCCCGGGATTTTCGGGATGGGGAGGGAAAACCCCGGAAGCGTTTGGGCACCGGGGTCTGGAATGCTGAGCAGGAGCTAGGAAAAAACGGGAAAAAAATGGGAAAAAACGGGAAAAAAACAGGAATAACAGATCAGATCCTGCCTGGAGCCATTCCCAGGAACTCATCCCAGGGCTGGGAATGCTGCTCCAAGGATTCAGGAATCCCAGGATTAATTCATCCAAGGATTCATTAGTGCTGGGTGTAATTAAGGTGGGAAATCTTGGATTTGCTCCAAATCCATCCAGGAAAAAAACTTGGGAATCCCCCATCCCTAAAAAAAAAAACAGGGAAGGGCTTCTCCCATGAGATTTCATCCCAGATTTTGGGAATTTTGACCCAAAATCCCCCTCTGAGCCCTATTCCAGCATCCCCTCAGCAAAGCCCAAATCCCCTCTGGACCCGCTGTCTGAAAGTTTTTAGGAAGGGCCTGAAGAATTCCAGGATCCCAGATGGACATTTTCCCCCTGGAATTTGTGTTTCTAATTTAGGAATCCAACTTAATTCCAGGTCTAATTCCTTCTAAATTAATTTTTGTGGGAAGGACTGGAATTCCCAGGGAAGCTGGGGCTGCCCCTGGATCCCTGGGAGTGTCCCAGGATGGATTTGGATCCCCTGGGATCATGGAATGGGATTTAAAGCCATTCCCAGCCAGAATTCCCAGATTATGGGATGATCCAGGTGGGTTTTTTTGGGAATTCTCTGGAGCAGGATGGATTTGGGACTCACCTGTTGGGATCCCGGCTCCGTTTCCGGGGGGTTCCCTCGGCCATGGCTCCTCCAGAGCTCCTGCAAAGCCACAATTCCACAATTTGGGACAGAATTCCAGAGAAAATCCCCAATGAAACAACAAAAGTGAGGAAATTGGGAAGAGGAGGGGGAGAAATGGGAGGAAAACAGCGGGAGGGAAGTGCCAGGAAGGAGCTTCCAACCCATCCCATGGATCCAGGGAATTCAGGGATGGGATTTCCCTTCTGCCTCATCCCAGTATTCCCAGTTAATTTATTCCCATGGGAAYTGCACCTCCCAGTTTCTCACTGTGCAACAGGTCCAATCCCAGAAATTCCATTTTTAACCTTTTAAATTCCAGATATCCTACTAAATCCTAGAAATGCCCTTTTTTTAGCCTTTCAAATCCCAGATATCCCAGAAATTCTCTTTTTTTTTATCCTTTTACATCCCAGAAAYGCCATTAGATCCCAGAAATCCCATTTTTTAGCCCTCTTCCCCACACTCACCAGTCAAACCTCCCCAAGTTTGGGACAACCTTGATCGAGTGTTTTCCCAATTATTGGAATTTTTCCCAGCTCAAATCCCAAAATAACCCAAATCCTGGAGCCAAGAGGATAAAATTAAAAAAAAGTAAGTTAATTAAATGTTTTAATTAGTCATTGATATTTTGTTAACTAAATTTACTGAGTTTAGAGGGGGTCTCTGGGTAGTTCCCAAACTCTTTGGGGGTGGCCCTGTGGAGTCCCCAAATTTTTGGGGTGATCTCTGAGTGATCCTCAAGGGTGTTTTTATCCTCTTTAAGGGTGTTTTTATGGGGTTCTCAAACTTTTTTAGGGTTTCTGTGGGGTTCCCAAGTATCTGAAGGAGTCTCGGGTGTCCCAAATTTTTGGGAGGGATCTCTGTGGGGTGCCCAGGCTCTTGGGGATGTTTTTGGTTTCCCAAATCTCTGAGGGGATCTCTGTGTCCTTTAGGGGGTCTCTGTAGGGTCCCCAAACCTTTAGCTCGGGAATTCTGTGAGATTCCCACATCCTTGGGGGATTTTCTGGTGCCCCAAAGCCTTCGGGAGGGGTGTGCATTTTTCCGTATGTCCCCAAATTTTTGGGGAGTCTGCAACCCCACCCCACAAACACCCTCACACCCCAAATCCCCCTCAGAGCCTCACCCCCCAAATCCCCTCCGTGTCCTACAGTGCGACCCCTGCTCTCCTCAACTGTTCGGGCTCCGGAGCCCCTCAGCCCGTCCCAAATCCCTCACGGAGCCCCCCTCACCTGTTCGAGCCCCTCACCCCGCCCCAAATCTCTCATGGAGCCCCCCTCACCTGTTCGAGCCCCTTTGCCCCGTCCCAAACCCCTCACGGAGCCCCCCGAGCCCCCTCACCGCGTCCCAAATCCCCTCACGGAGCTCCCCTCACCTGTTCGAGCCCCCTCAGCCCGTCTCAAATCCCCTCACGGAGCTCCCCTCACCTGTTCGAGCCCCCTCACCCCATCCCAAACCCCTCATGGAGCCCCGCTCACCTGTTCGAGCCCCTTTACCCCGTTCCAAACCCCTCACGGAGCCCCCCTCACCTGTTCGAGCCCTTCAGCCCGTCCCAAATCCCCTCATGGAGTCCCCCATATCTGATCGAGCCCCTTTACCCCGTCCCAAACCCCTCACGGAGCCCCCCTCAGCTATTCGAGCCCCCTCAGCCCGTCCCAAATCCCCTCATGGAGCCCCCCTCACCTGTTCGAGCTCCATTAGCCCGTCCCAAACCCCTCACAGAGCCCCCCGAGCCCCCTCAGCCCGTCCCAAACCCCTCATGGAGCTCCCCTCACCTGTTCGAGCCCACTCAGCCCGTCCCAAACCCCTCACGGAGCCCCCCTCACCCCTCAGAGCCGCAGCCGCGCTCCTTCACCTCAGCGCCGCCTCCTCCATGGCCGCTTCCCGCCTTCGAGCCGCGCGCCTTCGAACCGCCCGCGCTCTGCTTCCATTGGCTGAGCGCCGCGTCAATCAACTGTACTCGCACGAAATTGGTCAATCTGCGCGCGGCTCTGCCATGGACTCTCCCCCTCCCCTTTGCAGCCAATCATAGAGCGCGGCTCCCCGCGCGGGCTCTCAATGAGACTACAATTCCCAGCGTGCTTTGCGAGATCAGAGCGGCCTGCCGCGCTGTGGGGCGCGCGGGGCATGATGGGAGTCGTAGTCCAATGGCCGTGCACCGCGGGCGCGGGAGATTCTGAGGGGAGGAGTGAGAATGAAGASGGAAGGGAGGAATTGGGAGTTGATGGGAGGGTAAAGAGTTGTTAATTAGGGATTTTGGTGTTAATTGGGCCATCAGGGAGCTACCGGGGGCAGGGAGTGCTGCCATTATCTCCGGGGTGCTCCAGGCATCATCCAACGGGGCCTGGGACAATTCCAGGAATCCAGGGGTGGACAAGGAAAGGGGAAAAAAATGGAAAAAGGGGAAAGGAAAGAGAAGAAAGGGGGGAATGGGAAGGAAAAAGGGGAAAGAAAGGGGCAAAAAGAGGGGAAAGGGAACTGGAGAAGGGGAAGAAAAAAAAAAAGGGAGGGAAGGAAGGGCAGGAAAGAGAAATAAAGAGAAGGGGAGAAAAAAAGAGGGAAGAAAAAGGGCAAAGAAGAGAGGAAAAGAGGGAAAGGAAATGGGAGAAAGGGGGAGAGGAGAGGGAAAAGCCGAAATAAAAGGGGAGAGGAAAGGAAAGAAAGGTTTATTAAATAATATTTTGTTAATTAAATTTAATGAGTTTAGGACAGTCTCTGTGGGGTCCCTGTAGGGTTGCCCTTGATGGGGTCCCAAAGTCCTTTTAAGGTTCTTTGGGGTCCCCTGATCTTTTAGGGAGGGTCTTTGTGGGGTTCCCAAATCTTTGGGGTGATCTCTGAGAGATCCTCAAGCCCTTGAGGGTGTTTTTTATGGGGTTCCCAAATCTTTTTGGGGTCTCTGTGGGTTCCCTGAACATCTGAGGGTGTCTCTGGTATGTTTATTGTATAACAGTTATATAAAATTATRTAAAACTTACAGCAATAATTATACAAATATTTATAATAATTATTTACATATAATATTTATAATATAAGTAGTATAGTATTATATACTAATATAATTTAGTATAATATTAGAAACTAATATAATATTGGCTGCCATATAAACATAACATTTCCATAGTATTTATAATGAATAGCAGTTTAATTATCTAATTTTATGTATTATAACTAATTATAATCRCAAATACTTGCAACAATTGTGTTAATAATTGCATATAGTGATTGCAAATGCTTATAATAATAATTGTATTTATTATTGCATAATGGTTATAAATGATTATAGCAATTACATAAATATCACAATTATTTGTTAATATTATAAAAATATTATACAATTATTTACTAATAACTACCTATAATAATTATACAAATATTTACAAATACTTGTATCTTTTATATAATTCTTTTTAAAAATGCATTAAATTATTTTATTCTAATAATATAATTTTATAATAAAAATTATAATAAAAACTTCTTTAAATTGCTGTTTGCCCTGCCCCAGTTCAGGTGATCTCAGGGCTCTTTTTTCACCGAAGGCTCAATCTCTTCCTCCTCTTTGAACTTTTCAATTTTCCTTTTGCGCAGTCTCAGCGTT